GGAGCTGAGTTAGGGAGGGGGGATACTTACGACGGGCTGCGCGGCTCACCAAAATACCAAAATGTGCTTGGGAACGCCTTGTCAGCGCGGCGGATCTGATTGACGCTGCGCTTGCGGCAGATCTCCGGCGAGGCACCAAAATAGAGCCCATGATGTCTGGTCATGTCTGGCTGCCTGCATTCAGGTAAAAAATCAAAAGTCTAGAGCTCGTGCTTGTACTCATTGCCTCATGGGAATTATTCCAGCAGATGATTAGCTCCATCTGACATTAGCAGTCAGTCCTTCTTTACTGACCTGCTAATTCTATTAATTCCTTCTTTGAAGATCTGTGAGAGGAACTCCAAGGTTGTTCATCAGACGGACCCTTCACCCAGGCATTTTCATTAGTTCGACTCTCAACGGCTTAGCGAGTAACCTCAGACTAAAAGAGGAGGGAGGGTGGTGCGAGAAATGTTTGACAACTCAAAAGTGTTTTGACTTGATGAGGCAAGTGTGACCGGAGTTTGCTAAAAGTAATGTTGGCTGCAGGTTCAAGGTTTGATCAGATGTCTCCTTACCTCCTTCATCTTTGTTTAAATCGAGGGTTTTGTGTTATTTTGGGTATGTTTCATGGATCAGGATTCAGTGGATAAGAAAAGGGTGAACACAAACATCTGCTGCATGTAGAGGCCTGGCTTTGCTGCTCTAAACAGCAACAACCGGGTTTGTGCAGATGTCGCAGAGAGAGCGATGTCTGGCTTGTGTGCCAATGGCTGCAGGCTTTGTTTAGATTACTACAATTATTTGTATCCCCCTGTAGTTTATAGCGTGCATGTTTTTCTTTCCTGGATTGCACATAAATCAATTACAGGCCAGGATTTCCTGAGTGACTCATTGATCATGGAAGTATCTGCAGACTCTGTGTTATGTTCTACAAAGTATGCTCTGCAAAAACAAAACATAATTGCATGCTAACAACATATTTAATCACTGTGTGTGTGTGTGTGTGTTTCTACACTACCTGGGTTCATTCAGTTACGCCAACAATTCACCGATAAGCAGCACAAAAGAGATAAATCAGCCCAATCCCATTCACACCTGAGCGCAGCGAGAAGGAAGACTGAAAGGGAGGAAAAAAGCCGAGCTTGTGCCACCTGACTGATGAATACACTCATGCATGTGGACACTTGGCTGGCGCTCGGAGAATAACAGGGAGGGGATCTGGCACTTCATCAAGTAGACCTACAACTGGGAAATCGCTGTGCGAGAGCGATGAGGATGATGCGTTTATCCAGCTTCCTCTGTGATGCATAACTGGCTCTGCTGGCCTCGCTCGCACTGTGCACAGCGGGCCCTCAAAGCAGCGGCTCCAAAGCATTAAACAAGAGGGGCTTTTTATTCACCTGACATATTACAGCAGTGTAGTGTTTAGTTAAAGCTAATGAAAGTGTGATTGGACACAATATGACCCCATTCTTTATCTCTACTCTTAAACGTGTCAATATAATCCAGCTTCCATGTGACAAGATACTCTTCTTTACTCAGTGATCAAACCTGTTCATGTGCAATGTTGTTGAAATCAGATAGCAAACTATTAGTAGATGCACAGAGATGATGCTTGTACCATCCAATCTGTAATGAGATTGCAGCTCAGGGCGCATGTGAGATCATTTGTGCGTGTGTGAGTTAATTGGCAGCCAAAGAGCCTGCGAGGGAATGTTCTGCAAACCCAGCAAACAGTAACTCAGACCCAGGGCAACACTAATTATTCCAGGCTGTCCGCCAAATCCTCAATATTACAGCTTCACAAAGCCATCTTAGTGCATGTGTCGGTCTCTGTGTTACATGGTGTGCAGCCGGTCTGCTTAGAGGGAGCAGGAGACAGTAAGCCCAGGATATCAGGTACACAGATACAGATGTAGAGACACAGATGCCTCTTGGGAACTAGAGCAGCAGAGTTTTAGGCTTCACTAAATATCGTTAACTTTACCTCTAACCACATAACACCGTCTTGTTCCTGTCCAAATACTCACAGATGCTAGTTTTGTTGTATACTATTTTTTTTTTTTTAATGACTTGATCTTTACTTTAAAAAAACTAATTTATATTTACAGAGAGGACCTACATACTGCTATCACACCCAGTCTGCAAAGTGTAATGCATGGAGACGAAATGGTGGGGCTAAGTGTGTTGTGTTGGAGCAAACAGGGAAGAACAGCACTGTGTCAATGCACGTCAGAGTGTATGTGAGGACTCTTGCAATTTACCTGTAAAATCTGTACAATGTAAAAATAATGAAGGATGGACATCAGGCTTAAAATAAGAATAAAACAGTGTAGCCAAATATGGAGGGAGAATTAGAGATGCACTGATCAATAAAACGTCTAATGTGTAAATATTTGAAGTAGTGGCCTCTTGGTATACTTTTAAGTGAGATCCCAGATCAGTAAAATTTTAAAATACAAACACAAAGTGAAAATCTTTGACCGTGGTTTTGACTTTATGAAAAAGTGTGAGGGAGAAAACAGGTGATTGTTATTCTGATGTTTAATTCAGGGTCCCAGTTTGCAGATTTCTCCTCGCTCCTTTTTGACTGACAGATAAATATTGACAAATCTCCGTCATCTCCCCGACTCTGACGGTATTCAGCTCTTCAACTTCACCAGTCATTGTAGCCAAGCATCACCTACAAGAGCCTTTCTGTCAGCATTAGCATGATTGCTGAGAGGGAATCTGGGTGAACAGACAATGTGAGGAGAGAAATCATGAAAGTGGCATAAATATGGAGGAGTCGGGGGATGAGAGGGGGGAAAAATTGAAAACCCAGCGAGGTAAATAAGATTTGCCTCTATTTCTGCTGATGGCTGTCAGAACAGCAGCACTTTAAGCTGCAGATACAGTGGCAGCTCGAGGTGTGTGTGTGTGTGTGTGTGTGTGTGTGTGTGTGTGTGTGTGTGTGTGTGTGTGTGTGTGTGTGTGTGTGTGTGGGCCTATGTGGTATAGCCGGACTTTTGACCTGAATACATACCAGCGCTCCGCGGACCATTGGGATTAGCCGGACCTTGCCAAGGTCCGGCTAATTCGGAAAGTGTATCTGCATTAGTCAGTATCTAACTAACATATTTTCCAATTTTCTCTGATGGTCCATATATACCACTTGACCTGATTTCCAGTGTATCCCAGTGTATCAACATGCGCACCCTGTAGGCTGGGATGAAACTGCAGGATCTTACACATTTTTGATACACACGGTGCAGTTTTGGCGGGCTGGCTTGTGATTGGCTGGTGGAGATGTGTGGGCGGGACTTATATGACGTCGGGTCTAAGCTCCGCCCACACCCGCGGTGAACCGAGAGAACAGCAGCACATGATCCACAGCATGGATTAAGAGATATATTGGGATAGTTTCTTTATGAAGGTAAGCATTTATTTGTGTTTCATTGTCATATTTTCTGTTTAGGGACACTTAGGGAGAGACAGCCTGTTTTATTGAAGTGGAAAACTTTGACATGGAGCCACAATGACTTTGATAGCTTAGCTTCTAGAGGTACTTAGCTGCTTCTCAACTAAAGGAGACAGCAGGTGGAGAGAAATGTATTTGCAATGACTTTGCCCTGATTTTATAAGTTTGTATGATATATTGTTTGTTGCAACTGATAGTTTTCTTGACTTGGTGAGCTAACAATCTAAACAACATGTGGCTGTGGCTGCTTGTTTAGCCTCGTTAAAGGCATGCACATTAGCAGGCCCTGCCTTATTAAGTAGCTGTGATAATTTAATATGTTAGCTGTGACTCTGTGCTTGTTTTACTCCATGAGTTTGTGCATGCATGCTCTATGAGAGGACTGAATCTGTAAATGGTTAACTAGCTTTAAAAACTCCTACTGTTGTGATCAGGCCTTTATTTATTGCGCAGAGAACTTATCTATGTTATGTCTAGATTAAAAGAGTATGATTTAGTGTGTTAAGTGTTCAAGTTTGGGTGCAGAAATGAATAATAAATATGTTCTGTGGCAACCAGCAGGCCAAAGTCTGCTGGATGACTCTGATATAAATTTATCCGTTGGATCATTTCACATAGAGGAGATAGACTTAGCTTTGAATCTGTTATTATTTATGAGTGGCAAGTCAAGATGGATATTTGGCTGGTACATCCTTAAATGTGTGTTTCTGGCTAAAAAAGTTGTCTCAATTCATTTTATCAGAGTAATTTCTGTAGAATCTAATAAATTTGTCTGATGTCAGAGGAACACCACCACTGATTTCTTTCATTGTCATGTTTGCATGCCATGGGCTTGGTGATTAATTTTTTAATGACCTTAAACACTTAAACAAATAGTAATAATAATAATAAAAAACAAAGTGACTGATATATCGTATAACAAAGATTCACATAATGCTTTATCCAACCAAATATAAGTGTACAATTAATTATAATTTTAATTCAAATGGTTATGAACATGCTTAGACTGAACAAGAAAAAATGATATAGAATTATACAAAGAAGAGAGATTTATTAGAATATTCAATCTTAGAAAAAACAGGGTCACGAGTCAACATTTTTCCTTTTTTCCTGTCTGCTTTTTTTTCGGTTGGCAAGCCAGGCTATGAATTTTCAGTGATGACATAAAGTCAGAGAAATATTCACATGTTCTCATACTGATTTAGTGGTGCCCTATTAGAAACTGCCTATTTTTAAGCAGTGGTTGGCAGGATAAAGGTAAGTCTGAATTTGTTTAGGCACACCTGAAGAATATCACTTGTTAAACTAACTGTGTGGTAATAAAAGAAGACTGGAGGGCTATACTGCTTCTTTTTTAGAGGTAGGGTATTAAATTAAATTCAAATATGTTTAAAAGTATTTACAAGTTGCACTGAGAAGCTCGTCTTTTGTCCATATTTTGCCCCACATTGCCACTCCTTTCAACTTACAGCTAGTTCTGTTCTTGATTTTCATTCAACTGAGCTCTATGATTCTCAAAATAATCTTTATTACTTCAGGATCTACATGCCAGTAAGACATGCACAGGAAAAGACGAGTCAGTCCAAAGACAGAGGCAAAACTGTATGTTTCCACTAAAAGGGACAAAGCGGGACTCGATGTCAAATACATCAACAGTTTTAAAGGTGAGTTGAATCCTTTGAAAGTTTAATCATTCTATAACTTTCTTTAAATTCTCTCTCATTTGTATTTCTTATGTGACCCAGGTCGGGGTATCTTCACTTCTGCTCCTTTTGAAAAAGGAGATTTTCTGTTAGAATACAGAGGTGACCTAATAAGTCAGCAAGAATGTGAAAGGAGACTACACCTATACCATGACCACCTGAAGGCATTCATGTTCGAATTTCGTTATAATGGAAAACTGTGGTGGTGCGTATTGTTTCATTGGGTTATTATTTGATCAAAGTTACACTTCTTTTCTAATGTGCTGAGCATACAGATATATTTTTAAGGAAAGCCCTTGTGTTACCTCTATTAAACTACCAAGGTAGATCAAATTAGACACTTACGTTGTTATTTCTGTTTTTATAGTGTTGATGCAGCACAAGAGGATGGGTCACTTGGTAGACTTGTGAATGATGACCATAAGGCCCCTAATGCCAAAATGAAGTACTTACACATGGAGGGAAAGCCTCATCTGTGTCTGTTTGCAGCTCGAGACATTAGCCCAGGAGAAGAAATAACTTATAACTATGGTGATTCAGACTGGCCATGGAGGCACAAGGTGTTAATTTTCTTTCTTTGGAAAACTTAATATGTCCCTGTTTAATTTGTATTAGTGTATTTAGTCTTAACGCTAACTTTTTTTTGCCAAATAAAAGGGCTGAGATTGACAATCTAACTGATTTAAACAGAGTAAACTGAGTCAAGTTAAACACATGACAATAGCTGTTGTCAAACAGTTTTTAAAGCTTTGATTTAAGATGAACTAATTAAGTTTAGTAAAAAATAAACAAAATTACTACAAACAAAAAAAAAATTCAGAAAAATAGCTGTAATGCCTCCCTCAAAGGGAAATTTAAGGAAAAAAACTTTCATAATGACATCTCCTCTATCTTCTTGCAGAGGCTTGATGAGGACAAGCCTCAGAATGTGTCCAAAGTTACAGATTCACAGTCTACAGCTGCAGATGCTAAAGAGGTAAACTGTCATAAAAACTGTATTTGGTTATATTTAGGCTAGTCTGTCTCACAAAGTTTACCAGGACAATTAAATCAAAGTTGTCTCACTGTAATCATGTCAGCACTATAATTGCTTGATTAAAAAATGCACAAGTTTCCATTCTGAGTTATCTTTGTTTGTACCTGTCAATTAATTTGATCTAGATGTTGATGCTGGAGACTAAGGGTAACTTGATCAAAACTTCACTGAGCTTTCCAATCCAGACACTGAAAAGTCCTGCAAGGGGTCCACCCAACCAACATGAGGAGGTGAGTTTAAACCTGCTGCAGAGCTTTTTGATACCCAATGATGTCCACATCAGTCTCCTGATTATCTTAAATAGAGCATAATGTAGAACGTCAGATCAGGACATAACCAAGCATGTTTCTGTAAATTAAAATAATTATATGAAATGAAGTTGTGTATGCTTATGCCAGGAAATTTCATTTTTATATTTCAAACTAAGAGTAGAATCTCAGCATCTTCTCTGAAAATCAAAAAATCACAAGATCTTCCTCTTAAATGTTTCCAATCAGAGCCTTAATGAGGAAAGGTCTCAGAGAGTGTCTGAAGTTACAGATCTAGAGTCTACAGCTGCAGGAGCTAAAGAGGTAAACTGTTGTAATTTTTTATTTTTTTAAATCGTAACAGTATGATTGCTTTTTTCAAAAGAACAAGTTTCCATTCTGACTTGCCTTTGTTTGTACTTGTTAACTAATTTGATCTAGATGTTGATGCAAGAGACTGAGAGCAACTTGACTCCAATATCACTGAGCTTCCCAAACCAGACCCTGAAAAGTCCTGCAATGGCTCCCCTCAATCAACATGAGGAGGTGAGTTTAAACCTGCTGCAGAGCTTTCTGAAACCCATATCCACATCAGTCCCCCTCTCAAGCCTTAGTGTACAGTATCATCAGCAAGTGTATGCAGTAAGTTTAAATCAGGATTAAAACAGGCATGTATTTCAAAATTTACAGATAATTTTAAGGGAATTTTTAATATTCAAACCAGAAAATAAGATTGTTGCAACTGAAATCACCTGAGGACACACGTCTCCTCTTTGAAAGAATGTATGTGATATAATTTTAAGGGACACTGTTGTGTAGGGACTGTAATGTAGTCTAAAATTCAAAGTTCGTCAGTATTTCAATCAGGAGGGTGTGTGTGTAACTAAATAATATACGTTTTATCTGGGCAGTGTTATGTAGGGACTTTCACATATAAAACAATCACAAGTTTTATATCAATGTTAGAATCAGTTGAGTGTATGTGTATCTCAATTTGATATGATTTAAAGGGACACTGTTATGTAGGGACTTTCACACAGAGTACAATAACAAATCTTGAGTCAGTGTAAGAATCAGTTGAGTGTATGTGTATCTCAATATGATATGGTTTAAAAGGACACTGTTATGTAGGGACTTTCACACAGAGTACAATCACAAGTCTTGAGTCAGTGTAAGAATCAGTTGAGTGTATGTGTATCTGAATGTGATATGGTTTAAAGGGACACTGTTTTGTAGGGACTTTCACACAGAGTACAATGTCAAGATTTTAAGTCAGTGTAAGAATCAGTTGAGTGTATGTGTATCTGAATGTGATATGGTTTAAAAGGGACACTGTTATGTAGGGACTTTCACATATAAAACAATCACAAGTTTTATATCAATGTTAGAATCAGTAGGGTGTATGTGTATCTGAATGTGATGTGGTTTAAAGGGACACTGTTTTGTAGGGACTTTCACAGAGAGTACATTTGAAAGTCTTGAGTCAGTGTAAGAATCAGTTGAGTGTATGTGTATGTCAATTTGATATGGTTTAAAGGGACACTGTTATGTAGGGACTTTCACACAGAGTACAATCACAAATCTTGAGTCAGTGTAAGAATCAGTTGAGTGTATGTGTATCTGAATGTGATATGGTTTAAAGGGACACTGTTTTGTAGGGACTTTCACACAGAGTACAATGTCAAGATTTTAAGTCAGTGTAAGAATCAGTTGAGTGTATGTGTATCTGAATGTGATATGGTTTAAAGGGACACTGTTTTGTAGGGACTTTCACACAGAGTACAATGTCAAGATTTTAAGTCAGTGTAAGAATCAGTTGAGTGTATGTGTATCTGAATGTGATATGGTTTAAAGGGACACTGTTATGTAGGGACTTTCACACAGAGTACAATCACAAGTCTTGAGTCAGTGTTTGAATCAGTTGAGTGTATGTGTATGTCAATGTGGTATGGTTTAAAAGGACACTGTTATGTAGGGACTTTCACACAGAGTACAATGTCAAGTTTTTAAGTCAGTGTAAGAATCATTCGGGTGTATGTGTTACTTAATGATATATGGTTAATCTGGGCAGTGTTAGGGACTTTCACAGAGAGTACAATGTCAAGTTTCTAGGCAGTGCAAGAATCAGCAGTGAAATGGTCTAAATCTATAAAATAAAGTATGAACAGATGTTGGTGTGCAATAACAAAAAAGCCTTCTAAAAATCTGTGAGTCAGTGTAAGTATATAAAAGCTGCAACTGTTAACAAATGTTAGCTCGTCTATCTGTTAAGTTTATATATGGACATTTCATTCAGTGTACTTAGAAGCTCAGGTAACTGTGCTCATAAGTTATCAAAAGCTGTATTCCCTGATAACCAGAAATGCAGAGGATTAGTTTTCATACTATACAATTTTGAACATTTGCCTGAATAAATGGACTAAAATTGAAATCTTTTTTTTTTCAATGTACAACTCAGAAATCCATTTAAAAGGGCTTTAACATCATGGTCCATAGAAAGATTCTGATATATATATTAAAATCCCCTCCTTTCTTTCTGATTAGAGCCCTGATAAGGACAAGCCTCACAAGTTGTCTGAAGTTACAGATCTAGAGTCTACAGCTGCAGGAGCTAAAGAGGTAAACTGTTGTAATTTTTTATTTTTTTAAATCGTAACAGTATGATTGCTTTTTTCAAAAGAACAAGTTTCCATTCTGACTTGCCTTTGTTTGTATTTGTTAATTAATTTGATCTAGATGTTGATGCAGGAGACTGAGAGCAACTTGATTCCAATATCACTGAGCTTCCCAAACCAGACCCTGAAAAGTCCTGCAATGGCTCCCCTCAATCAACATGAGGAGGTGAGATTAAACCTGCTGCAGAGCTTTCTGAAACCCATATCCACATCAGTCCCCCTCTCAAGCCTTAGTGTACAGTATCATCAGCAAGTGTATGCAATAAGTTTAAATCAGGATTAAAACAGGCATGGATTTCAAAATTTACAGATAATTTTAAGGGAATTTTTAATATTCAAACCAGAAAATAAGATTGTTGCAACTAAAATCACCTGAGGACACACATAATCTTTTTGAAAGATTGTTAAACTCATAAGATTGTCCACTTTCTTTGAATTCTGAACAAAAACTTCATGAGGGCAAGACTCAAGAAGTGTCTGAGGCCACAGATGCAGATTTGGAAGAATCTGCAACTGTGGACTTAGATCAGTGTACTTAGATCTAATTATCTTTTATAGAGCAACTGAATGGATAATTTTTTTCTTCTTTGGTAGGTGATCCTTGAGACACCACAAAATCAGTTGGCTGGTCTAGGTCAAACGGATATGCAGGTCAATAGTATAAAGGTAAACTGCACTTTGAAATTTAAAGGATTTTCTCTGAAAACCAGGTTTATTTTACCTATGTGTAAATAATAAATACCTGCATTTGTATTATGGCAGAATTAAAATGCTATAATTACATTTTGTCAACAGTGTAAAAAACATCAACTGGTGTCTGCAAACGTTTCCACATTGGAAAAATGCATACAGTGTGTTGGACCAGTGTCCTCTTTAAGGTGGACTGGCTATCAGTGTCGAGGTGAGCTATTTGGTGAAGTCTTATACATTGTTTCAAAAGCTAATTATTATACATGTCAAGGGAAAAAATGAAATTACAGGGGCTAGAGAGAGAGCAAAAATTTAGTTATATATGTGAATAAAAGGGCAATCCTATTTTCTCTTAATAAGGTACTTAAATTTATATTTTGTTTTCAAATCCAAATTTTCTCTCACTTTAACCTCACTTGGTTCAGCTCTCTTACAGCAGCTCTAAAACCATCACAACCATCACGCTGCTTAAGGATCATACCAACACTGTTTTTATTGTTATGTATTTATTGTAGATTTACAATGAAATATATGAACCAGTCCTGTTATAGGGCTATTGTACATGCACATTGTGATTGAGGTAGTTTAACATTGCATGGTGCAATTGTACATTTGTCAACAATAATAAAACCTGACTTAAGTATAATGTTGATTAGGGAAAGGTTATTGCTTTTTGCTGCACACCAGATCGATGCAGTATTTTGATAAGACTACAACTAAATGAATGCACTTGAAATATGTTACAGTTTGTTCTGGAGTCTGGCATAAATCCTGCCTCAGAAGAATTACTGATGGTGATCTCCATGGCCTGTTAGAGGTAAGCATTCCCACTACCGTAAAATTGACAGTGTTCTTGACATTCTAGACTGATTTTCTCTCTCACTTTTTCAGTATTCTGGGAAAGAACTGCTTGCAGATGAGAACAGCAGTTCTGAAGACAGCCTGTCTGATAAGGACTACATACCAGACTCAGAGTCACTGGAAGAGGACCATGATGATTCAGACGCAAGCTTACCTTTAGCAGAGAATCCGAAGAAAGCTGTACAGCAAAAAAAAAAGCCAGTACTACCTGATATTCTGGCATCATGTGCTTTAGACTTAAGCTCTATGGCTGTCCAGAATACACCACACAGTTATCAGCCTTATAATGATGATGTTGCTGAAGAACTGGATTCAGTCAAGTCTGTCAAAGACTCATCAAAGGATAAGACGGAGGGCGGAGCTGAGTTTGACAACCAAGAAGTACCCCATCTGACCATGAGCATCAAAAACTATTGTTTCATATGTGGGAAACCACAAAGCAAAATTTCCCGGCACTTAAGAACTCATAAGGCACATCCTGAAATTGTCCACGCCTTTTCCCTGCCTGAGGACTCAAAAAAGCGAAAGATTCTAGTGGAAAGGATGAGGAATAAGGGCAATTTCAGACACAACACTACAGTTTTACAGAGTGGGACTGGAGTTCTAAAGGCAAAGAGAGCACCAAAGGCTAAAGCACAGACAGGACACTTCATTCACTGTATGTATTGTCAAGGGATGTACATTCGTAAAGAATTGTGGAGACATGTTCGCAGGTGCCCCTTTAAGCCAGAAAATGAAGACACCGAAAAGGAACCTGGGAGAACTAAAGTGCTGAGTTTGGCTGCAGCCCAAGAGACGGCATTCTCTCAGCATATCTCTAGTGGAGTGTGGAAGCTTCTAGGTAGCATGAAAGAGGATGAAGTTGCTTCAACAGTGCGAAATGATCTCACTATCATTCAGCTTGCCCAGTCTCTCTTTAACAAACACGGACAAGACCCAACAAAATTTGAATACATGCGACAGAAACTGCGAGAGGTGGGTCGTTTGTTGTTATGTCTGCGCACAGATTTTTCCATACATAACCTTGAGGAAGCTGTAAAACCTTCCAACTTCCAAAGAGTGGTGCAAGCTGTCAAAAAAGTTTCAGGTTTTGATGAGGAAAAACACTTGTATTTGACACCAAGTCTTGCATTGAAACTTGGACACACACTGCACAAGATCTGTGACATTATTCATTGTAGGGCACTTATGGCAGAGGATGAAGAGCTGATTAGGTCCACCGATGTGTTCAAGAAGTTGTACACCTCCAAATGGTCTGAGTTGGTGTCTCACAGTGCCCTGAACACACTGAGTGATGCAAAATACAACAAGCCATTATCATTACCCTTTACAGAAGATGTCCAGAACCTTCATCGGCACCTTGAAAAATCTGTAGAAAGTGCGTCTTGCAGTTTGACGGAAAAGCCCACACCTCAGAACTATGCTCAGCTTGCAAAAGCTACACTTGCACAAATCATTGTGTTTAATCGTAGGCGTGCTGGGGAGGTTTCCAAGATGCGTCTGAGAAGTTTTCAGGAAAGAGACAACACAAAACTCCATGAGGATGTTGCAAAGGGACTGTCACAGACTGAACAGCGGCTCTGCAACCATTTTAGTCGAGTTGAAATTATGGGGAAAAGGGGCAGAAAGGTTGCTGTTCTGCTCACACCAAGCATGGTGGATGCCCTCTCATTACTAGCTAGCACCAGAACTGAGTGTGGTGTTAACACTGCAAATGTCTTCCTGTTTGCAAGACCAAAATCACTGAGCCACTACAGAGGACAGGAATGTCTACGGGTCCATGCAGAGCAGTGTGGAGCAAAGCACCCAGAACACTTGAGGTCAACTCAGCTCAGAAAGCATGTTGCCACTCTCTCTCAAGTTCTCAATTTAAAAAACAACGAACTTGATCAAGTTGCTGATTTCCTGGGTCATGACATTCGTGTACATCGAGACTTCTACAGATTACCAGTTCCCACAACACAACTGGCTAAAATCTCCAAGCTGCTCCTGACCATGGAAAAAGGCCACCTGTCCAGCATACAGGGGAAGTCACTGGACGAGATAGAACTTGACGGTTTGTAAAGGAAATACAACTTTGGTTTTTTTTTTTGTTTTTATGTGTTTCCCTTTCCTTTTTTTTTTTTTTTTTTTTTTTTTTTTGAAGGTATCTTTACATATCAGAAGACAAATGTTTGGATATATATGTGTAGGCCCACTTAACACCATTGATTTTTCAAGCTTAAGAAGGGTTTTAAATTGTGTGGTACTCATGTGAGTTTTATTGATACTACCAGATGAAATACAGTTAAGCGATGGTGAGGCCAGGGATAGTGGCAGTGAAAGTGACAACAGTGGCAGAGAAGAGGCAGGCTTGGAGTGTGGTACAAGCAAGCCCCGTGATCCTGTTCCAGAGTCTACGGTGACAGAGCAGGTCCATGACACTGGAGATTTGGGTGGGTTTCTCTATTTGATTGTGTTTCAAATTATTCAAACCTCTATTTCTGTAGAAAGAAAAACTCACTTTTGTTGAATTATGTTTCCAGCAGAAACAGGATCAGTGTCTTCCACAGTAAATGAGACTGCCCTTCCTTCTGAGGGTAAGCAAAGTCTTATTGTAAAGCCTAATCCCAAGTTTCCATAGTGTTCATCCTTAGTCATTGCAAATGTTTTATAACAGAAACAAGTATTGATCCATTTTCTTCTTTACTTCATTATGTAAGATATATCATTTCATATCTTTTAGGAGACACTGCTGTTCAAGAGCGTGGTCCCAGAAGACTGACCAAGAAACCCTGGTCAAAGGCTGAGGTTGCAGCAGTAATGCGGCATTTCAGAAAACACATAAGCAAAGGGAAGCTGGCGACCAAAAACGAATGCAGTCACTGTAAGGAGGTAGAAGACCCGGTGTTGGCAGGTAGAACAGTACAAAACATTAGGGACTTTGTTAGAAACAGAGGGACAGCAATGAAAAGGCAGTCACAGAAAGGCAGGCTGTAAAGCGTACAAAAACTGTGTTCTTAGTGATTATGCAGTTGCAGAAGTTGCTAGAAAGATAATGTATGGCAGTATTTTTGTTTAAAAATGGTTTGCAAAAGTGTAAATATGCAAATATGTGACCTATTATTTTGTATATGTATCTATTTAAGTTGATGAGTATAGGTTGTTGTTTACACCGTACCTTCTCTCCAGTTGCGCTGTGAAAGACTAATAAGTGTGTATGATGATTGGAGAAATATGTATGTTGAAGTAATGCCCCCAGCCTGGTGCTCATACCTAGGTGTTCTATCTTGCTTTGTGCAGTGAATCAGCTCCTGCTAAAGCTGGACATGATCATGTCCAGATCATGCATATTTCAGAAAAAGAGAGATACACTATTTGGTAGAAGACTTTTTTTAGGACATTGGTTGAATATGACTTCTAAATTCAAGACAATTCAGCAAAGCTGAACAGATCAAAGTAATGCACAGCTAGCCTGGGTTTAGAACCAATAGACCCCTTCCATTTGCTTTTTGATTTGTGTAAGCTTTAGTGGATCGACACTTTTGGATCGATTTACACATTTGCAAATTGTTTGTTTGTAATAATATTTCCTTGGTTTGCAAGGTTATCATGTTTTGGGACAGGTTGTCTGCAAGTGCTACAGTTTGTTTGAGCTTGGTTGAAAATTTAAGCCAGCCAGACTCCAAAAACAGTTGGCTCAACCCTGTCAAGGCTTTGGGTATGTTGTCAGTGAACCAGTGGGTCACATCACTGAGGCTGCATCTGTTGCTGTTTGTTTTTCTGATTGCTAATGGTTAAGTTTGTATTTTTTGTAGTGCTGATGTTTTTAACAGCAAAGGTTCTCTCATCTCAAGATACTTGCAAGCAAGAATAGATAATGTTGCATTTAAAAAAAACATCTATTTTTTTGGTTAATTTAGTGGGACTTCTTCGATAGGCAGAAGGGTTGTTTGCCAAACTTATATAAGAAGATGTTATACTGATAGACTGTATACTGTAGTGGACAGAGCCGTACCAGTCCAGAGTAAAGCTGTTCAAGTGTTCATTATTTTGCCACGTTTAGTTTTCAGTACATATTTTATGTTAATAACTTGAATGGCGATTTGTTGACCAGCCCATAGAGCGTTTTTGGCAGATAAGTAGAGGAGGAATGAATAGAGAACACAAAAACTAATAAATAAAGAGCCCTCTAACTTTACATAGCTGTGAGTGTTTGCTAAAAAACAGCTTAGGAATCTGTTCTGCTGTTGATTGTTCCAACCTGAAGGAACTTTGGCATGTTATTGGAAGGTTAAATGTGTGTTTTGGTAAACAGAGGTGGTGTCCTGGACTATAGCTGCCCATTTACTCTTGATGCAAATGTCCTCTATGGCACAAACTCTTTAAATAATGCAGCTTTCAAACCAGAGTAAAATGGCTTCACCTAAGTAGAAATAAAGGAGGCAGGAATCCTCTGTCCATTGAATAAGCAGTCTATGGTTATATGGCTTTAAACTACTTTAGTTCAGTAATAAATTGCATGTCCCAACAATACTGTGTTCTGTCATGTTTGTGTGTATATGCTAATGAGGTGGGATTTAAAGGTGATGTCACTGTCCCTTTAAAGTCCGGATAATGTTTTTTGTGTCCCTATACACCACAAATTTGTCAAAAATACATCTGTCCGCCTAAACCACCATTTTGTTAGGGGGCTGTGTATAAGGCCCTGTAGGGTGTATCTGAAAGCTAAAGTGACCCAAATTTTTTTCAGAATTTTTAGAGTAATTTTTGCTTACTCCTAGAGCTCTCAGGCCATGGGAAGGGGTAGTCCATGTAAACCACCACCGGGCTGGTTTGGCGAAAAAGTCCAGCTAAATCATATAGGCCCGTATGTGTGTGTGTGTGCGTGTGTGTGTGTGTGCATAGCAGGGGCTAATTATCATGGGGGAAGGAGGGCAGGTGGGCTGTGTGTTTTGGGGGGGTATGAGAGGAAAGGGACAAAAACTACAACTTCCCCCACCCACCTCAGTCTGACAGTCCTGCCTGCTAATAGAATAGCAGTGGAGCATGCTTTGGGGGGTGGGGTGGGGGGGTTAAAAAGCCTTTGATCAGCAGTCCCCCATGACATCAATTAACCATTAATGTGCTGCCGAAGAGCAGGAAGATGGAGAGCTGTCCAGGGTCACCTCCATTCTGCAGCCCCCAGCATGATAATGACGACTATTTAACCCAGCCCGTTCTTCTCTATAGGGTTATCTGTGAGTGTCTGTGATGTTTATGCATTATAAAGTCTGCATGTGAAGATTACCTCTGCTACATTGGCCGTTTGTGCGCATCATGTGCCAGACTTCAAGGGAGAAATTGATGTAATTATATTCAAAATTAAACTTGCAGGGTTAAAAGGGCTGCAGGAAATGATGTCAAAGTATCTGAACTGTTTTGTGCACAGGTCCAACACGGGAACTGTAGGATTTGTAAAGCAGAGTTATAAATATGAAAATGTTATGTTACTAGTTTAGACAAAAAGACAAACTTGTATCCCCACCATCCACAATGGATGAAATTAACTCACTGCACATGTCTGAACCTGAGCATCACCTGGCTGCAAACATGCATTCCACGCTTTAATGACACACATAGTGTCAGTTATTTGTTCAAAGTGGGGGTTCAGCCACACACTTTTGAGTGTGTTTCCTTATTACTAGAGCTGCAGCAGTGGTGGCCAAAGCCCACAACTTTATGACCCGGGCCAAAGTTTAGATCCTCATGTTCAAACATTACTCCATTACATGTAAAAGTCAAATTACCACTCAGAATATTTTCAAATATCTCTAAACATTGTTATATTTCACAGTGCATGGGTGCAGCCAAGGAGAAGATGATGTTCATTTTGCTGAGCTTTGTTTATTTGAAAAAATAAAATAAAATAAAAAAAACTCACCTGCTAAAAATTCTGCCTCCGCCTCTAACAGGCCAGCCTCCTTCTCCCTGCCCTGCTGTCCAGCTGTAAACTTGTGTACCGAAGCTATCAGGCTGACAGGGACAGGACTCTGCATTACCTCAGACAAACAAACTCATGACATTTTCTGTCTGACCCTTCACTGTCTGCTGATGCATGTGGGGAACTGTTGACCCCATCATTTTGACTCTGTCTGCAGTGGCGGCCGTGAGTGACATAGAAATAGCTGAGGAGAGTGACGAGCATGCAGCTTAGCATCATAGTTAGAGAAGTACTCTATCCGATAGATTTACACTTTGATTCTATCTTAGCATAAAATCACTGTCTTTGTGTCTGATCCCTCCGCCCCTCTCATCTGTCTTGCTCGTTTGGCATTGCTGCGTGACATCTGGCACTGGCCAGACGTTCCCAAGCCGATGACCAACGTCCCCCTATAACGAGGATATATGACTCCATTAGCCCGCAGCTGATTATTTAATCATTTATTAGATGACTTTAATTGAAATGGTATGATGAATGGAATAGAGGTTCACTCCCCACAGAGTCCTTTAATTGTGCTGCAGCTCTGGGTGCCGTACCTCAGATCCATTACCTCTCAGGCCACTTATGTCAGTGTACAGGTAGCACAGGGTCTGATGGGGGCTTTTAAGGCATACCTACTAAAAAACACCTCCATAAACAGGTTCAGATTGTTGCTCTAAGAGTCTTGCATCCTTACAGAAGGATTCCCTTTAGAGACAGACCATTACGTTAAAGAGCAAGGTCCTGTTTTTGAAGTCACAAAACAATCTTAACAAGGTTTGCTCTACTATTGTGTAAGACAAAGAATTTTTCTGTGAAGACCTTCATTTTTCAGCAAGACCATGACAAACCTCTGACAACAGGGATTACAACAGCATGGCTCTGTAGGAGAAGAGTCCTGCTGAGAAACTGGTCTGTCTGATGTTGGGGTTAGGTACGGTAGCCTACCATGCAGCGAATTTATTGCGTTAAGGTTATCACTCATGCTCTTCCTCATTCATGACCTCATTATGATGAAGAATAGTTACAAATTGAGGGCAGGGAGGAGTGATGGCCTGTCATGTGTGTTACTGATATGACAGCTGTCTTTGCTCACTAAGATTAGTCGGCTCTGTAATCTATTGATCCCGTGGGAACGTTCCTTGGTACGTCTCTGAATGGCTTCCTACTTAAACCCTCATCAAAGGCAGAGGCACCGCGCCCCGCCGAGCTGTTTATGTCAATACAGTTAATGTGATGTACTTCACGGCTTCCCTCTCAGACAGCAGCACTGGCACAAATAAATTTATAAATACCTATCTACAGACCCCCAGAAAAACAAAATACAGGAGAAGAAATCCTCTCCAACCCTGAGGATGAAAAAAGGAGAGGAGAGGACAAAATAAAGGAAACACAAGACCGATTCTGAGCTGAGCTTTTCGCCATCCCCTCCCTTTCTTCTTCCTACCATCCCTCTGGTTAGACTCCCGCCTCTGTCGTTTCTGTGTCTCCTGTAAATGGTATGGATAAGCTGTAGTAGCATTGTGTGCGTGTGTGCGTGTGTGTGTGTGTGTGTGTGTGTGTGTGTTTGTGTGCGTGATCCTTACTGACAGTAAAAAGGATGAATGTCATGAATAAGCACTCTGCTGAGTGTCAGCCGTGACCTTTGCCTTAAGAAGCTTGCAGCAGTCAGTGTTTGATTCACATCAGTAAATACAAACCGCCATCAAACCCACCTGCCTGTTCTTGTTCCAGGGATGAAAGCAATCAAAGTGAGCCAATAACCTGATGATGTCTGTGTTAGTCTCCATCATAAAGAGACGACTGTTAGGATATATCACCTCCCAATCAGTGCAGCGTAATACAATTCTTTTGCAGCTGCACATGAGACGCTTTAACTGGTGGAAAAATAACAATAAAAGGGCTTTTTTTTGGTTTTGTTTGTTTTTGTTTTTTTGGTATCGATGAGTTTAGATCAAGTCTACATAAATACAAAGAGAGGGCGATAGTTTGTCCATGTATTACTCACTGTAGAGCTTCTGGTAACCAAAGGAACTCAAACATTTAAACTCTGATGTGATATTTATGATCATAACTATAAGTTTTAAACTATCCAGGCTGGGCATCCACAGGTGGAGGGGACCACTTGTCAGTCTTTAGCGAGTAAAGTAAGTAAATATGTAAGTAAAGGTTTATTTGTATAGCGCTTTTCGCAGTACGGGTACACAAAGTGCTTCACTGTATAAAACATAAAAACATCATGAAACAGAATCATTCAGTATAAGGTCGGTATAAAACATCATAAAGCATAGATCAGAAACATTAAAATCAGTATAAAATCAATAAAAACATCATAGTAGCTACTATCACTATGCGAGAAGGCACTAACGCTCAAAGTGCAAGAGCATGTACATTTAAGGCCACGGGTCTATGACAGAAAGGCCTGTTTAAAAAGGTACGTTTTAAGTTGCTTTCTGAAGCTAGCCACGGACTCTGCCTCTCTTAGAGCCTGAGGGAGCGAATTCCAAAGGCGGGGGGCTACCGCTGAAAAGGCCCGATCCCCTTTTGTTTTTAGCCTAGTGTGGGGCACTGCCAGGCGCCTCCGGTCAGCTGACCACAGAGAGCGGTTGGGGGTGTGGTGTAGAATGAGGTCGCAGATGTAACTGGGAGCAGAGCCGTGGATAGCTTTGAAAGTGAAAAGCAGTACCTTGAAATGGATCCTAGAATGTACAGGCAGCCAGTGAAGGGCAGCAAGTATGGGGGTGATGTGACAAGTTTTTTTTTGACCTGGTGAGTAAACGGGCTGCAGCATTTTGTACCAGTTGAAGACGATGGATGGATGCAATGGCAATGGTATGCGACACCAGAAAAATTGCTCATTAAATGACCCAATGGCAGCATGTACAGTGCAAAGAGAAGTGGAGCTAGCACCGAGCCTTGAGGCACACCACAGTAAAGAGCAGCATTGTCAGACATATAAGGGCCAGCTATGATTGAAAAGCATCTGTCACTCAGGTATGATGCAAACCACTGAAGAGCACAATCCGACACCCCAACCCAGTTCCTTAGCCTATCCAATAAAATTCCATGATCAATAGTGTCAAATGCTGCGCTTAAATCCAACAGGACTAAAACAGAGCACTTGCCGGAATCAGAGGCCATCAAAATGTCATTGGACACTCTCAAGAGTGCAGTCTCAGTAGACTGTTTTTTCTGGAAGCCGGACTGAAATTTGTCGCCAATTTCGTGTGAGTAGATAGGTGTTGAGTTGGTTGAAAACCACTTTCTCTAACACTTTTGACATAAATGGCAGTTTAGCAATGGGCCTGTAATTTTGAGGAATGGATGGGTCTAGGTTGGGTTTTTTAAGGAGGGGTTGGACAGCTGCCTGCTCAAAAAAGGAAATGATTGTGAATGAATGAAATTAAAGAAAATGATTTATTTACATAAATAAGTAAATGAACATAAGGATTTACAAAAGTAACAAAGGCTGAGTTGTTAGGCTTCAGGGTAGACTAAGGCCAAAATAACAACCAAAATGATCCTTCTATGGAGTAAGTAACTAAACTAACCAAACCAAAGGAAACGAATGCAAAAGACTTACCTCCCTAACAAAATAAACAGGAGAAAAGAAGGTTAACAAAACTGGCAGCCCACCCTTACTACTCCAAGAAACCACTACAAAATGCACAACGGTTTGAACCCAGCAAAACAGTGTGGCCAGTTGGGAGAGGAGGAGGATGAGGAATGCCTGCAGCCCTGCACACGGTGGCCGCCATCTTGGTTCCTCATATAGCAGGTTTCAGCCAATCGCTGTCCAGGACGTAGAGCCAATCCACCAATGACTTCATGGCTGTGGCACACACCTATTTGCATATGAAATTGACAAGACAAAAAGAACACAGGGCACACACACACAGCAGACAGACTACAAAATATGACCACAGTCATAACACAGGGAAACAGTCGGCTGGGGTTTTGATGAGTCATGCTGAAGCAGTCCCGTATGTGCTTTGCTCATTTCCCCCAGGGCTGGTTCACTAGAAACTCACAAAAGGCTCTGCCCTTAACCAAACAGCTTCCTCTGGCACCTCTGGTGCCCTAATTTTTCACTGAGCACCTGCCCCACAAAATGTCTGTGCACACCACTGCCTGTAGAGCTATGACTCGGTCTGTGCATGTTGTCCTCAGTGTGTAGTGGTGAGGGTCAGTTCAGGTCTGAGGAGAATAAGCCTGCAGGGTGGTTAATGTGAAGTCTGTCATGAATCTGCTCTGGTTTTAGCGGCCAGCATAAGAATAAATGTGATATCCCAGTGTGGTGTAGTTTGAACCAGTTTGAGGTTATCTCTGCATGGACTCAAGCAGCAGGTCTAACAACCCGTCTGGAACCCGGGATGGCTGCTGACTGCAGGAATCCAAAATCCTAATAGAATAAGCAGCACAAAATGTAATTAAACTCATTTGATTAGATTTTATACTTATTACATTAGAAGCAAAACGTTAGATGCTTTATGACGTATTTTCAGAACAATATGTTCAGTTATATTTTGTTTGGACTGACTGCTTTCTTTGTATCCAACAGTCAATAAATAACTGTCGCAGCAGGCAGAGAAATGCTTTATCTTTCCCCTCTGTGCTGCATGTGTGGGAGTCCATCTGTTCATCTCAATAGCAGCCGTGATAGATGCAGAGCTGGGAGTATTGTATGCTGTGACAGAGAAACTGCATTTCCAGCTTATCTTCCCAACGGCCATTCATATTGCCTACTTGGCCAAGTATCCTGCTTCACAACCAGAAATGATTAACCAAGAGAGGCCCAATGATTGCCACTGAGCTTCAAGCCAACCTCCCCCTCACAACTTTGCAGACCCACATCCATTTTTATTGAGTCCCTGCTCTGAATTCAAATGTAGCTGTATCAACAACATTCATTCACCGACTTTAACAATAAGTCAACAATGAGAATGTGGGATGAATGTGCTTGATAGTGCAGATATTCAATTATGACAGATTGAAAGACGGCTTAGTGCGCACAAAGCTGTCGCTCTTCCCTATTGGACTGTTTATTTTGGGCTTATTGTTCACCGTCTGTGAGTGAATTGTTAAAATGCTTTAATAAGCAAGATGACATTTCTCCTTGAGCTTCAAAAACAGTCCCACAGCATTTCTTCATACAGATGGAGTCATTGTGAGGGGTGAGGATTGATAAGACTTTATTGGTAATAATGCAGTCATTGATTCTGCTTATTGACCAGATCCATATTCACTCTCTAATGTGGACTTTCTTTGTAGAAGAAGAACGCCTGCACATATTAACTTTCTTTTTCATCTTCACAGCCTTTGATTGGTTGACCGACCAAAACAAGATGTAAGCCTCTGTCTGGCCCGGTCTGCAGGCAACAGAAAGGACTCTGTTTCATAAAAGATATCCATAAATCAGGACAGGTTACTTTAGTTTTTGAGGGGTTGAATCTGGTCACTGATCATCTCGCTGGGACAGAAAAGCTTCTGGATGTTGAAAAGTTTTAGGAAGGTGTCGGTCTCACAAAGTGAGTGGATTTTAAAGTAAGTCTGTATGATGTACCATTGTATAAATACTGTAAAAAGAGCATCTCTATCATTTTTATTATTTTTTTTTTGAATGATATAAAATCTCCAATCTGATTTGCAGTCCACCACTTTGGCGCGCATGTGCCTCCAGTCTGAATCTGTTGGTATGCACAAAGCCAGTTTAGGAGTTCAAAAGCTTTCCATCAGGAAAACATGAAGGAAGTTGTCTAATGGAGGGGGGACATGGGGGAGTGGAGGGGTGAGATTGCTTACTAATGGACTTTCTCTCCCAGCTGTGAGAGCTGCAGCTGTCTGGGGGCGCTGAGACAAATAGAGGTGGCTCATGAAGGGACGGCAGCATCCAGACAACAGTTCACATTTTTCCCCTGCACACTATTTGGCCACGACAAATTAATTTGGGACTGCTTGGGAAAGAAGGGGATCCAGCTGGGGTGTTGGCTTACAAACATGTAATGTATTTCCAGTGTGGGAGCCAGCTCTATCAAGACGATGCATGATTGAAAAGTTGGACGATGTGGAAATATATTTGCTGCTGATCCGAAGGATTCGCAGCAATGTGACCTAGACTGGAGATAACTGGGAGGAGGAGATGGGAATGAAATTGATAACTGGTGCATGCTGGGTGAAAGATTATAAAAAAGAAATAAGTTCATAATCTGCCGCCATCATTGGCACCAACATAACTAGAGAGAAAGACACCAGGCTCAGTGAGTTAACATAAAAGAATAAATGGTAAGAAGGAAATCTACTTGGCAGAAATGATGCAGAGCTATTTTCAAAACCAAACACACTTGGTCAGAGAAAGTTCAGATGAAAATCCCTAAAACTTACATTTGAAACCAATTTTCAGTGTGAATGCCTCATATATAGAGGAAATATGATTTGTTAATTAAATCGTGCATTAACACATTTTTTGTTAATTTTTTTATTTTTCCAGAATGAACTGCAAACTAATATAAGGGAAGATCATATAATGAAGCAGCTGATATTGCTTATACGTCACAAGAAAAGAGCTTTTGTGCTGAGCGTTTCGCAACACTTGGCCACCAAAACTCCAAATTTAGGTTCAGCATAAGACAACAGTTTGGTGTGAAATTATTTGTAAAAACTGCAGAGATGTCATGTATGCTGTTACTGTGAGGTGTGTGCAGTGACTGACATGGAAGGGCTTCAGACAAAGTAGAAACATTTTATTTATTTATTTATTCTTTATCATGATAGCTGGAGTGAACTGAAAAGAGAATATATCAAGAAGTCATATGTAACACAAACTACTATGATCATCAGTTAAATATTTTTCCAGATTTTCTCTGACATTGCCGAATTTTTTCCTGACTCAAAGTTGAGCCCATCTTACCAACAGCATTACAAGCAGAAAGCAGAAAAAAGACTGAAAGTTCCAAATTATACGTAGTGGTTCATAATGATAGTGTTGTCACAGTTTGAATGCATTTCTCTGGTGTATTTCAGTGTTATTTCACATAGTAATATGTATTACAGAAAGGAGAAGAAATCCCAATATAAGTTTTTTCTAATATCATGCAGCACTAATATGTATTTCTCCACAATAGACGTGCATGTGGGAGTCTTTTAATAACATGCTGTAACCAAGACAGGAGAGTGCAAAATAACTGCATTAATATTTGCACATACCTTATTGCGCTCCAAGGAAGACGGAGAGACAGGGACGACGTGATGTACAAACTAATCAAATTAAATATGAACATCTTGTTAGTGCAGATGTGTTTAACTTTCTGATGCAGTAATAGGTGCAAACATCCTCGTCTCTATTAAAAAAATAGATGCACTCTGCAGAAAATGCTTCTTTTTTCTTCCTCACAGGTACTTTTTTCTCTTCCCACAAGCATGTGAGGGTGTATCCTGGAGGTCATAAATGTGCTGTCACTTAATGTAATGATTCAGAGCTGATGTGCGTCTGAACTTATTTTTCAGTCTTGTTGTTTTCTGTTTCCTCAAAACAAAACTATTTATTCAGGAAGAATCTGTCTATGACCTAAATAAGTCATGGATCCTCTGGTTTGGCAGCAGAGCTACATGAGCCTCTGGATTATGACGGCCTTTGAACTATTCCTCCCAGACTGATGACTGGTTATTAATTCATCTATTCTTTTGAAAAGACTGCCTCATTATCATCTCGATATCCGCCCGTCCCGCGAGAAGTTGCAAAGCCAAGCCGTCAAGATTCTGCACTCCAGCTTCACAGGCTCGTCAAATTAAAAGGGTCTGCCAATGACACTTTGAGGATGGCTCTCCAAAAAAAGGATGAATTATGTAAGACCTCTTTGAATATTGCATTGCAGAGAAGGGTGTCCCATATGCCCACCATTTCCAGACAAGACATCAATTGGAATTGGTTCACACTGGCACAACACAGCAGAGGTAAACTCCGCTTCCTCGCCTCCTATCAGTGAGAGCTGCAGAGTCGGCTCCTCAGGGTTTTCTAAGAGAAAAGCTTTGAGAGATAAGGAGAGAGGAGACAATCGCAGGGTGATTGAATAAGATCTGCATTTGGAGAGTGGACTCGGATAGCATCAGAGTTCTTGGCAGATGACCGGGGTTCTGGGAAGAGCAGAAAAAACAAGGATGTAGCTCATGTCTGTTTTCTGTGATCCATGCTGAAGGGAAGCCTTGAACGAGCTGAGCCAGCATAACAGGATGGTCATTTGTGTCATTATATGAAAACTGTCTCTGGATACATGAAAAAACCACCACTGTGCCCAGGACCCTCTGTGGGAGCTGTCAACTGTTTCTATACAGCAATGCTGAGTTTGATAACATATTAGCTATGCAGGCTAGGTTTTTCTTAGCACCAGAAAACAAGTGCTAGTGTCACTTTAAAGTTTCACGGCTTTAAAAGAAACTTTACACACACTATTACTGCGCAGCTTTCTTACTGACACTTTAAGGCTGTTGGCACAGAGTGTTTGGGCATGCAGTGCAAGAGTCATTGTTATTTTGCACCCGATGTACTTGTCAGTTTTAGCCCAGACTAGTGCCCATGTTGTGTGAACAGGAAGAAAACAAGCACTCGCATCCATGCCCATGGGTTTGATAGTCTTAAAAAGAGATGTAGTGCAGTGCAAGGAAAGAGTGTTGCTATCTTGAGGAAGCAGATTGCGGCTTAGCCTTAGACCTGGTCGAAAGCAAAAACTGTTGAATACGTGGATGTAGTGTCAAAGATGTCACCCACCTGTCTGTGAGGCAGAATTTTGAAGCCAATCGGAAATATTGGAAATGCTGACTTAATTTTGATTTATGATTTGCCAGTCTTGTTACCTTAATGAACTTGAAATGAATGCATTGCATGGAAATTCACTTTTCATTCTGTGGGAGCCTTGACATGTTTATTGTTGCTCTAAAATGGTGTAGTGTGTGTAGTTTCAGGTGCGTCTGCAGGCAACCTCAAGTGGACACTCTGGGAACTGCAGTGTTTCGCACTTCTACACTGGCTTTAGTTCTGAAGACCTGAGATTGCAGCATGCTCTAATTGCTGAAGCTGATATTTAGAGGGCTTATTGGTGAAATGGTTAAAAGGCATTAGAATTCACAAAGTGCTGTCCTTCTTTCAAACAGCCATGCGCAGCCATGTTTACACTCATCTTGAAAATGTGTGTTTTTGCAGAAACAGTAAAATGACTTTTTTGTCAGTTTAGAGGTCTTGCAAGTACTTGTTCTTGTGCCCATGAAGACATCACAATACAGTTCATTTCTGTCTCCTCCTATCAGTCATGCACAGGCCTCCCCAACATAAAGAATGATCTGTATTTGATCAATAAAATACTTCATTTTAATAAAACCGACAAATGATAAATAAATATCTATCTATATATATATTTGGATCACTAAACTGAAGTGACTTTTATTGTGGGTAAAATCTTAGGTATATCTAAGAAGAAAAAGTACAAAAGAAGCTTTTAGAGTTGGGGTTACAGATTTGAGCAAATCACTCTCTTGATTTAAAAGAAAAGCTCTCCTAAAAATACCAGCATTACTTTTCAGCATGACTCAAACTTTGCTTTGGGTCACTAATGAATTTAGAAATGTCTCTCTTTCATTCTGATCATTTTAATGGTGGGAGGAACAGAAATTTGTCATTGTTATTAACCCAAAGTGTAATAAATGAGTCCCACTCAGCTGAGAAGATTCATGGATAAAGTTAGTTTAGGACCGTTTCTGGAGAAGCTCTTTACGATAAATGGGGACAATACAGTGCAGGCTGGTGATGTGGATCCTGGAGATGCTGGAATACACAGCAGGAAAACAGCAATTTACCGTCAGAAATGAAAATAAGTTGTTTCCAAAAGACGTTACAAAAGAAAACCCCCGAAAACTCTCATTTCCGAATGAAAGAAAACAGTTGAAATGGTTCCCTCAGAACAATATTTCACAATCTATTAGTTTTACTGCTAATCACTTTTCTCTTTCACGCTGTTGCTTTTATTGACCTTTTATCGGTACCAGCAGCCTCCTGCTATTTCTCTTCCATCTTTGCCTCTATTCCCTGCAGCAAAACAAAGACATAATTGAATTGCACCCAACAGGCCACCTGATAAGTCAATCTCATATTCAGAATTTCTGATGAAGCTTCACCGTGTGGCCCGAGTCCTTATTTTCTGCCCAGTAAGCCCCCTGTCTAATTGTTATTATTATAATTACTGGAATGGTTACAGCTGTTTTGCATGGGACCATGAGGAAATGTGCTGCAGCTGTTTTTACTCCACTGAATTAAACAGCAACACCTCAGTGGTAAATGGTGTCAGTAATGGAGACAGTACCACTGAGCTGGAACCGGAGGACCAGAACTGTGAGCTTTACTGCTTAAATTCAGGTTTTAAAATGATAGTAATCAAAGCTGTGTAATTATTAAGATTAATATCTGCAAATCTGGAGAAACATCTAAAATACACATTAAAACAAGTTGGAGAAAAGCTACAATTAAATACTACATCAGGTTCATAGAGAGAGAGACAATTGTGTCTTTTTTTTCAAATCTGAAAATACTGTTAGGATCATATGAAGGGCATACAATGGTACAGAAATTAAAACTGACTGCAGATCTGGAAATGTGATAGTGGCAACCACCAGATATTGCAAATAACACATCTTCCAGAGTAAAGAGCTTGACTTGAGCTTTTGTTGTGGGTGGGGAAAAAAATGCAAAAGTTAAATCCACAAATAAGCTTTCAGGATGGGAGACATCTGGAGGGCTTTCAGATGGTTTGCAAACTACAAAACGGTTCTCGCTATTTTTTTTCACTGGCTGAGCCTTTTCTTTGCCACAGGATGCAGCGCCATTTCAACCAGAATTAAATTGTGCACAATGAGTGGCTTAAAGATTGGGATGTGCCAATCATAAACTAAAGACAAGAAGGGCAAACAGTTCAGACTGAAGGCCTGAGCAGTCTGAGTAATCTCTGCGGGAGTTTAACGTCAAGGTGATCTCAGGAAAAAGCAGTCAAGGATTTTCATGGTGGGACTGCGCATTTCCTGCAAACCAGGAAAGATTGAGACAGTATGTTTTGAAGTGTCCATCACCTGTTGAGGAGTTTTGAAGGCAGGTAACAAACATAAGAAATGAGCAGGTATTTTTTGCCTGGTTTAGTTCTCTTTTACCAGCTTTGGCAATCCTCAGGGAAGTGTTCTCGGGCCTGTTTATTGTTCACAGTAAATGCTTCCACTTGGGAATCTCTTGGCACATCATCATAATATCATTCTAAAAGTGATGACGCTCGACTCACATTTATCTTACTACATGAAGCAAGTTGACTTGAGTCTCTTCTGTACTGTCTCACAGACATTGTGGATGAGCATTACGACTTCAAATACATGGCTATGGTTTTAGATTATGATTTGAAATTGAATCCTCATACAAACAAGGACATAAGTACAGTACTTACTTTTATCATCTCAAAAACATGACCACAGTCAGACCTTTTTTTAATCCCAGAAAGGTGCTGTAATTTTAATTCATGCTTTTATCACCAGCTTTTTAGATCACAGCATCCAGAGTTTCAGCATCTGAGAAGAAAACTGATCACATATGATAGAAATGCAGATTGAACATTTGAACACTTCATTTTGATAATCTCTGGCTGTTAAAGGTTAGTAGGGTTCATAATGGTAAATTATTTTTCATAATCTGAGTATGGTAGAGAGGTTGATACAGAAAATGTGAAGGTAGGTTGGGGAATCTTTGCAGCATCACATCTTATCATTTTATAGACAAAGAACTGGTATACTTGGACTCATTTAAGAAACTTGATGTTGGCCAAGGGTAAGTAATCAAAAACCATCACTTTAAAATTCCCCAATTGATTCTACATTTTGCAGATTATATTAAACTCTAACAGTATCCGAACTATCAGAGTTTGTGAAAAAGTCATGAAGAACAAATGTTGCGATTGTTTGATACTAGCTGAGATCCAAACACTGAAATCTTTCACCTGAGCATGCACTGACAAAGATCCAACTCAGCCTGTGCAGAGTGAGGTGACTGATTGATTCTTAACTTTGGGAACTAAAATGTTGAACTCTAAAATTTTCTGTTAAAGTTTGTTAAAACTGATGAGATCACCTTTTTCTTCCAGGAACAGCAGAGATTTCAGCTTGCATGCATTTATACTGTAACCTTCAGAAGAAGAGTTACAAGGAGCCCCACAGGCCGACATTTAAAGACAACAACAGGGAGACATGACAGCAAATAAAAATAAATAAATCCTGTAAACAAAAACACAAAGAGACAGACCACCAGGGACCTATTCTATGAGGCAGGATTACTGCTTGGCGAGGTAACTTTGAGGGTAAGTTCGAGGTTTCCTGTTCTACGACGCGGGTTCACTTCTTAGGGAGGCGAGTCTCCATGGCAACGTACACTGAACGGCTAACCTGCTCCGGGACAGGTTAGGTTCCAGATTGAGATCACAGAGTATAAAAACCTCGCCCACTGACCAATGAGCTCTCTCAAAAAATGGCTTGTCCGTTCTTGGAGGATCCTATAGACCTCAGTGCTCGCATTGTCCGAGGAGCACTCCAGCGCGCAAGAGTTTTCAGAGACCGCACGGACCCACTTACTTTTCTGGATGACCACCGTTATGAAAGGCTCATATGGCCTACATATCACACAAAAAATGTAAACACGATAGAAATGAACAAATGAATGAATTCATCTTGGAAATGAATTAGACATGTCTGGTGCATTTTAAAAGCACATTTTGAACAGTGCTATTTCAGGGTGATAATGGCATCAAAGATTTTTTGTGCACTATACTTACGCATTGAGACTGTCTGCAATTTTCCGCCAGCATTCCTTACGTGCTTTTGCAGCGGCGACGGTGTTGCTTTTGAGGTTTATGACAGATTTGAATTCTTCATACTTTCTTATGATCGTTTCCTGCTCCTCGATTGTAAAGTACGCGGTCCTTCGCTCTCCGGCCTGCTCTGATGCTCCAGACTGGTCCTTGTTCTCGATTGGTCAGATGCAGCGGGCTCCACCTTACATGCGTGCACGCGCTCATAGCAAAGCTGGATCCACTTTAGAGGTTGATAACCAGCGTCGTAAGACCGTTTAGCGAGACCGCTGGCTACCGTTTTAGGCTGAACTTGCTTTGTAGAATAGACCCCAGGTCTGTTCAAAACAAATGAACAGATAAACATTTTAAACTGGCAGCATACATGGGTTCTCATTTTTCTGGTGGATTTGGACCTCTTGTGGTTAATCCAGGGCCTCATTTTAACGTATATGAATTTAAAAGATACAAAACAGTTTGGGGATGTCTTCAGCCAGCAGCCACACCCCCAAACTTTGAAGCAACTGTCCTGAGGGTGAAAGAGTCTGATGGAAAAAAGAGGCCCAGATCATGTCAAAACAGACACAATCCCTATAGAAAAAAATTTTTTTAAAAAAAATCTTTTTTTTAAGTAGTAGTCATGACATGACTGTCATCTATAGCACCAGGATCTATACCCAAAAACACTTGTTTTATCTCAGGACAGTATTTCTGTCCCTGGACCAGGCTTCCTCAACAAGTTACTTTTTCTGATAATCTGTGTGTGTGTGTGTGTGTGTGTGTGTGTGTGTGTGTGTGTGTGTGTGTGTGTGTGTGTGTGTGTGTGTGTGTGTATGTGTGTGTGTGTGTGTGTGTTATTTTACAGTCATTGCAGCCTTGTGTCATGGCTGTTGCCTCAAGCAATACACTGAAGAGATTCACAACCTATTCGTCATGTAGTGTAAGACTGAGGTTTGAGAATTCAAGGTTTCCCCTTTCAAACATGTGCGACTCAGGATAAGATTTTTACTGAATTTCTTCAGATTCTGACTCAACTTTGGCATTGGACCTCATTTTGTAGCTGCTGTCATGGAGAGTGTCTATACATCCACAGTGTGTCACACAGCCTGATTCATTTAGAGCTTATCCTCTTGGCGTCACAGACCTGTACTTGAAGTATTGATCAGAAAGGTCTCTTTTTTGAGTGCCCAATGATAGAATGCACTCTTGTGTTCCCTCAGGGAAATTTCTCTCCAACACAAGTGCTGCACAAACTCACTGAATCCACAACAGTACTGATAATATATAAAGAAAGTTTGAACCCAAAAACATTGTTCAAACTTTTAGAATAGAATAGAATAGAATAGAATAGAATATTCCTTTATTGATCCCTCATGGGGGAAATTTTTTTGTCACAGCAGCATCACAGACAAAGAGTGCAAAAATGCAGTTATAAAAATAAAGATCCTAATATTAAGAACTTTTTTTATGTGTTAAACTGCTGTGAGGGGGGCAGGAATCAAACCAAACGACAGCGCAGTAATGTTGCCATTTTACCCCCTTATCAAATTAGTCCTCGGACTTTTGAATGTAAACGACCTTATCTACAATGAGAGAAACATAGTTCATAGTAGAAAAATATTTTTACATCTACGTAACAAGAGACAATAGATGTCACTTTGTCAAAAGGGGGTGCCAACATCAGCACAGAAAAAAGGTTTCTCACAAAAGCTAAATGTATGCTTCCTGCAACATTTAACCAGATTTGGATTTCTTGGAAAGTTACAAAAGAAAGGCTTGCTGGGAGATCATCCAATGACCCCATGACATTAGATAAGTAGGGTGAACCTAATTTTTACACCAAGTTTCAATAAAGACAAGATGAAAATAAACATCTGTGCAATTTTTAGCAAGAGTAGTAGTGCAGTTTCTGGTTTTCTGGTTTTGGCTAGTTCAGGACTTGTCTGATCATCTTGTATCTTATATTTCTTGCACTTGTGGACTTTGTCATGTCCTCAGATCTTAAATCTTATTATTTTTCATTTTTTCCAGGTGAATGCAGTCTTATCATAAGCATTATTAGCAACACTGGCCAAAGCTAAATAAATGAGAGCAAACTGAAGTAAAGTAGTACATCCCTTTTCACACATTCTAGATTAAACGCAGCAGCCAATTATAAAAACTATTATCTCGACTTCCATGTCATTTTCTCTGAGCCAATATTGACATATATAATTTGCATATAAGTAATCAGGTCACTGTCTTATTAGGATTATGTGCCAAACATTCATGCTGTTGCAAACGGAGCTGTGGCTTTGGCCGTGTAGTGTTAAACGGGGAGCTAGACCTCTTTCAGTTCTTTCTTCAGTAGCCGTGCCCATAAGGAAATCAACGGCATGGCGAATCAGAGCTCACAGCATTAACACATTAAAGTCACAGTCAAAAATGTAAAGGTTTCAAAACAGATGGTCTCATTTTATGCAAATGTTATTATGCAAAGCTAAGCCCTGAGGCGCAGTGATTTTTTCTGCCTTTTAATTGGCGGAGAAGAGAGAGAGGTGCCAGACGTTGCAGGTGGCAAGGTAGCCCCACTTTCTTTTGTCACATCCTGAGAGAGACTTTTCAGAGAATTTTTATTTAGTGTTATTTCCACCGGGGCCTCGCCGCAGCCATCTGTACGCTAAGAGGGGAGCCCATTCAGCTTTGTATGAGGCTGCAGCTTCTCAAAGCCTGCTGAACTGATAATGCAGCATGCTTTTGCTCACAGCGGGGACAGGCTCACCAAGGCAACAACGGCTGAGAATAAACCTTTGGTAACAAGAAGGTTAACATTATCCACCGGACTCCTTCATGCCCTGAACGCTCTGGTCTGCTGATTAGCAGGATGTAGTCTGGAGTATGTCGGAATAATTAGGATATATTATCTGAATAGCCCTTTGCCAGGAATAGTCTGTTCAACATGTCTCTTTGTGAACTAAATAACATATAACTTTGTTGCCTCTGAAAGAAAACAGAGCTATTTAATTTAATTCAAATTTTATATCCCTGTAAAGAAAATGGGCCTCGCCGACATGCTTCATAACAAACACGCACAATAAAAAGGCAACTTAAAAGGACTTTTAACACATATTAAATTACCACAACACATGCCAGTGTAGCATGACATCAGCTAGTTAAAAAAAAGCTGCTTACTGCTGCAAAACACAGAGTTCCTGCAGAAACATCCACACAGTAAATTAGTCTGTATGCAAATTAAGCATAACTAAGGGAGCTGGGCTGTGGACTGTCCTCTTTATTTCACAGAGAGCCTGAGCTGCTAGTGTCCAGTTTAGACTTTATATATGGTTCGTCACAATGAAACAGACTGAAACTGATTTCTATGCCTCGTCATGACTTTTAAAAGCATACTAGACAGTCAGCAATAAGGCTTATAGTTATTCTCAGGGTAAATGTTAAAGTCAAACACAACATTTAGGAAACACAGGTTTCCAAATGAAACTGTAACATTGCATACATTGGGAAGTGTGTGTCTCCTATGTGTCTATGCTCAGTCTTCGGTCAGATAAAAAGCTGCTGAACCTGACAGAAAGAAGTCAAAACCATGTGAGCTGTTCATGTAGAAATGCTTCCATCATCACTGATGAAATCCAGTTTTTGGAGGCTGATCAGATAAACACACTCAGAGGACATATCAGACTTTGAAACCCTTAAATGAAAAGCTCCTCTGCCCTAAAATATTAAGAAAGCTTTTGATGTCAGCCCCTCTTCCCTACACCAGTCTCTTGGAAAATGTGCTCTCCATCAGTTCAGATGAGAATATTTTTGATGCTTTTTTTCATTCTCTGGACGTCAGCTCTTTGGGCGTCAGTCATCTGCTTACCAGGGGACAGAAATTACAAGAAATCATGCGATTAACTGTTGGCACGCCGTCCACACATAAAGAACATATGTGGGACTGCTGTATCTGTGGTAACCTCTTTAATGTGATAGGAAAACAGTCAGATTTTGGCAGCAAAAAAGTGCTTTTGGCAGATTGAGATATTCTCTTTGAGTTAGGTTTGGTTTTCCAAACCTTCAAACAAAAACAAGTGATCATAAATGTGCACATTTACAGAAGTCTTTCCACTGTGGCCATCCAAGGTTGACTTTACAAAGGAATTACATGCTTTCATGAGCCTTTATGCATTCAATATGTGCGACAGCAACAAAGACATGATCTGTTTCTGCCTCTGAGAGCTTGTAAAGTGTAACAAAGCATACACAAGGTAACACTAGATGCCATGATCTTACTGTAGCCTGACCTCTGGGGCGCCACAAACAGCCCAGCAACACCTCCGACTATAAATATGTAAACGCGTTGGCATGTTCAGGGCTCCTGTTGAGCTCGGAGCCTGTGAATCATTCAGCCTAACCCACTCCCTCCTGCAGCACTGCCCCTGTTGGCCTCTTTGGGGAACAGAGAAAGTAAACAATGTAAATAAGTCATGATGAGCAGGGCTGGTTGGCACACGCTCACACAGTCTCACACTGTTCAGCACTGAGGCGAATACAGACTGATCAGGTAAGAGCACTGTTTCAAATCAATACAGTGGTTGTGTTTAAAGGCTTTCTAAACAAATTCAGCTTAACTAAGATTTTATGTATGTGTTAGACCTCTGACCTGGCTGAGTTTGGCTACTCAGTCTAAATCTATTGTGCATCTTCCCGTCACAGGTTACCTGGATGTTACCTGATTGTGTTAAAACCACAAAGATCCTTTTACAGCCTTTAACTTTAAAGATATGAGTGGACTTTGGCAGTGGGAGCAGCAGTTTCCTGCATTCATCCAGATGGGTCAGAGAGCTTTACACACTGAATTATTACCATTGCATACATCTAAATGTCATCTAAATAAAGGTCTGTCTTTCAATGCCTGCTCCATATCATTACTTGGTATATTCAGTAGTATCTGAAATAAAATAAAAAAAAACATAATGATAATAAAAAATAAAGACCCTGGTCAAGATTTAAGGACTTGTGATTGATTTGATTTAAAGAGGGATGGAAATATGAAACTTCTGCAAAGCTCATCAAGAAGCAGATATTTTAATGATCTCTCTAATAACATGTTCTCATGCATGCTGGATTCTGTTTGTAATTTTCATGGACCGGATCTCAAGGTGCAGCTCTTTGCAGATGATGTGGTTCTGCTGTTTTTTTGGGGGGCTTGGACCTGCTGAAGCTGAGTTGAGAGTCAGCACCTCTAAGTCTAAGGTCATGGTACTCTGCTGGTAAATGGGGGACTGCTCTCTCAGGGTGGGGAGCCAGTCTTTGCCCCAGGTTAGGGAGTTCAAGTGTCTTGTCTGGGAATGAGGGAAAAATGGATCAATAGATTGTCAGTGTCAACAGTAATGGGGTTGTTGTACCAGACCATCATGGTGAAGAGAGAGTCGAGCCAGATAACAAAGCTTTGGATTTACCAGATTGATCTATGGTCAAACCCTCACTGGAAGAATAAGATCGTGGATACAAGCAGCTAAAATGAGTCTCCTCTGAAGGGTGGCTGGGCTAAGCCTTGTGTTGTATATGAATGCCTGAACATATTGGGCTCTATTTTCGTGCCCACCAGTGGCGCAGCGGAGGGTGGCGGACCCTGTGCAGTGGTATTTTCGTCTGGCAGAGCCCAGTGCACAGCCAGTTTGGTATTTTCATAGACTGAGGCGCACCGAGGTCCGTCAAGCTGGGCGTGGTGGCACGGCAGGGGGAGGTGTTGACAGAATCAGCTGGCGCAGTGACATTTTCGTGCCTGCCAGCGGCATAGAAAGTGCACTGAAAGCTTGCCGATTTAAACCTGGTCAGCTTTCAGTGCGGGCGAGTGCAGCAGGTCTAGTGGTATTTTGGTAGACCGGCGGCGTAGTGCACATGCGTCACCGATGCCTCACTGGCAGGTTTCCACAGTGTCAGGCACATTTCAGTGCAATAAATAATCAACAACAGCAAATATTCAGAGTCAGCACATACATTTAGATCTATATCGATATATTCTGATCTATATCTGATCTGATGGCACACATTTGGACACTCAACTTGACCGAATTAACACAGCTGAAACTGCATTAAATTAAATTAAATATCTGGTAAATAGGCACACATGATGAAGTGAACAAGGTATTTAATTCCTCTCCCCCTTCTTTCTATCTCCCTCTTTCCCTTATTTCTCGCACAGCTTGACCTGGACACATGTCCTCTCCCCGTTCTGCTGCAGCTGCTGCGGCGGCTGAACAGATGATTTATTTTAGTGATCAAATGAGTAATTTACTTGAAGCCTACATACAAATTTCATAATATTCAGTTTTGTGAGCCAAATTATTTTTTTTTGCCAACATCAATAAAAGAAAGAGCCAGGCCACGGTGCGTGATGTGTCATTCATGCACAGATGGTTCCGATTTTAATGTCATTATTGTGCTGTGCCTATATGAGACAGTGTGCAGGACGCCCTCTGCAGCGTTTACAGCGTCACTTGTTGAGGGGCTGCCTTTTGTCGCCATTGTGTGGCATTGCTGTCTTCAGACATCTCTGGATCTCTTTACCTACTGCACGAAAATTGTAATATGCCTCGCCAGCGGCAGATTTAAAGGTGAGGAGAGGAGCTTATCTGATTGGCGAAAACCGGTCTTGGCTGTGTTAAACTCACTCCACGCCTTCTCCCCTCCCTCTCTACTACTTAAGCCGCTGGGAGGAGCTGAGTTAGGGAGGGGGGATACTTACGCCGGGACTGTGCCGCTCACCAAAATACCAAAATGTGCTTGGGCACACCTTGTTGGCGCGGGGGACATGGCTTATGCAGCGCCTACGCCACACCGCTGGCGAGGCACAAAAATAGAGCCCATTGTGTTTACTTGCTTACCTTATTATGTTCATGCACCGTATATCACATCTACAGAGAAGCTTCCTTCATTTCAGTCTGTTTACATCACACATTGTTGAGATTGACTATAGTGTGAGGATTTGTAGTGTATGCTGTCTGAGCTTCTTTTGATTTCTGCCTGGATATTGAAAACGTATCTAATCACTGAGGTAGTCTCATACCTTCACAATCCATTTGACCTCAATGGCATGCATGATTCAGCTGAGGTCAGACAGTTCAACTCTCTCAAACAACGGAAGGGTGTTGTGAATTTACATTGACTCTGTATGTAATTCACTCACAGGATGACTTTGAAATGAATGAACACAGCATCCGAGAGGGTGAGAAGGTCAGACATCAGGACGGAGCTCAGAGTAAAGCTGCTACTTCTTCACACTGCATGGACTCAGTTGAGGTGGTTTGGGCTTTTGATAAGGATGCTTTCTGCACTACTCCATTTGGAGGTGATCCAGGCACATCCAGTCAGTGTAGACCTAGAGAGAGACCTGGAGGAATCAAATTTCCCATCCAGCTTGGGAACTCAAGAAGAAACTGGAAGAGGGGCTGAAAACAGGTCTCGGGGAGAGGGAGACATGGATTGACTGATCATAAGCAAAAAAATGGATGGAAGTAATATTATCTATTCTGCACTCCTCAGCCTAAGTTTCTACTATTCATACTGATGTAAGTTAAATGGTGAATAAATGAAATATGGTGGCATTGCAAGCTGCAAAATGTCAACATAAATGATGAAGTCAGATGGATAAAGACATAATTCTCAGGGACAGTTTTACAGGGTGCACACAAATTTAGAGCGTGTTTAAACATAATTAAACTAGATGTAGTGTACAACAACAATACAGAACTAAAAACCATATTGCACTGCCTGCCATCCTCGGTGCAATGCTCCCCACAGCAGCCCTAACCTTTAGAATGGTTGGTACTTGTGACTGCCTTTCAGTGTTGTAGGTCGTTTAAGTCGTCCCACCTGCTAAACTACAAAAGAAAAGTTACATCAATCAGAAGCTTATCCCCTCTGTGGTGCTCCAGGCTGTGTGTGACAGCTCTGGAAAGTTCTTGGACACCTACGTGGGAAACACTGGCTCTATGCATGATGTCCTGGTCCTCCGGAGGTCATCCATGTATAAAGAGTCGCTTTATCCATCAGCTGGCTACGTCCTACTTGGGGTTGGAGGGTACCCATGCCTGCGGCATCCAGTCACCATCATAACGCCGTACCACCAGCCCTTAGCAGGTAAGAAAAGACTGAGGAAAATGTTTATTACATCACATATCAGTTGTTACTATGCATTTGCATTCTGGGATTTCTATCAGATTGAAACATTAACATGAGAAGTACTTATCTGTATCTTTCACAATAAGGCTGCGTTGAGGAACACTTCAACCAGCATCATGCCAGGGCCAGGAATGTGGTAAAGCAAGCCTTAGGCATGTTGAAGACCCGCTGGAGAGCCATATTCTTACAGGCTTTGGAGATCCCGTCGGTATTTGCCCCAAAGGTGGTCACAGCCTGCTGCATCCTCCACAACCTCTGCCTGGCCACAGGCGATATCCCGGAGGAGAAACATCATGAAGATGATTAGGGGGGGATCAGGAAGACAGCACAATCAAAACAGCTACCGAGCACTCCAGTGTCAACCTTCGTTCCAGACTGGCTGCACAGGTGCTGCCTGCACATTTAAGGGAGCATGATTCCCAAGATAAAAAATAGTTTGGATATGTAAATAGTTCTTGAAAAAAGAAAATAAATTTAATAATTTTTCAAGTAATCGTTATTATATTGTCAAAAGTAATGTTCATTTATTGTCAATTTTGTGTTGTTAAATCATGATGTAAATAGTTTAATTCAGTTAGTGTTGTTAAGTGTGATAGTTTAAGAGAGTTTAATTGTTGTGTGTGAAATATTTGAATAACTTTGTTAATTAAAATGATTGTGTACATGATGATGAACTGTTTTTTTTTTTTAAAACGCTCAACCCATAGACTAAAAATTGCGACGGGAAAATAAATGTCTCCATTTTGTTTCGAATAATGTTGTGTCAATCCAATAGCTATCTACACTTAAAGTTAAAAAGTGCTCTGATTATAAAGTGTTTCATAATCAGTGAATTAAGGGAATGAATGCAATTCCCATAGATGTGCAACATATTTATTAAATGAACAAAAAAATGCAAATCTTCAATGAATAACCATGAACCAACAACTAAAAACAAAATGATTAGATAAAACACTTAAAATTGGTCAAGTTTTTCAAATAGATTCAAATACAGTATCTCTCTGCTCTCTGCTGCCGCTCTCTCCCTTGCCTCTTCTCTGGCCACTGCCTCCCTCTCTCGTTCTTCGTCCCTCTCTGCCTGCTCTTTCATAAATTTGAGGAGTTCTTCTCCTATTTTTGCCCTCTTCTTGGGTGGTGGTGCTCCTTCTCTGGGAGGGGCGGAGGACGGGGAGGTGACAACGCCACCTGTAGTGGCGGTCACGTTGGCTGCCACTACCAGGGGCGGATGGACTGCAGCGTCCATCATCCTGTACCACTTCCAGGTGGCAGCGGTCACCCCACCCGCCACCTTTTGACGTAGTGGTGCCTCTCACAGTTTGATTTGACTTGTTAGTAGTGCACAATACTGCTGAACAGCCCACCTGGAGTCACATCTGATCACCACATTTTTTTTATTTTTTCATAATTTCTGTGATTCACTCGCTTTATTTTCTTTTTTAATGTAGCAGTTTGTCAGATTGTTTCAATGAAACACATACTGGCCACTAAAAGGCTGGCATACAAACACAAAAAACACACTCACTCCCATCCATTTTTGGAGGAGTTCCTCCACCCGGTAAATAAGGCTTCATGGGTTGCCTGCCACTCAGTGAGGGTGGTGGTTTTCTCAGATGTCCCTTACATGAAAAGTTTAAATGTCACAACATTGATTGGAATATCTACTAGTGGTGTTAATATTACCACAGATTGATACCTGAGATACATATTGAAACACTGGTGACAATTTAAACTTTTTCTCATAAACATACATCACAATGACAGACAACTAGTGCAAAAGTTATGAAATAACATCTTTCAGTTGTGTGCCTGGCTTTCTTCTGCCATCTTCACCGTGTTTTGTCTATTCTAGAGAGAAATAAGGGACACGGGGGAAGTTGAGGAGGATGCCGACCGGCTTGCTGGCAAGCTCCCCCCACAGGCGCTCGCTAGCTGGGCTGTGGAGCTTCAGCTCCGAAAACACTGGAGCTAATTTTGAATTTTCCATTTATGTTCATAATGCCGCCTGTATTTAAAATGAATTGAAGGACATCGTAACAGACAAAAGTGTAGAAAAAACTCACCATCTTAATGGCGTCTTATCCAAAAAACAGAGTGGACTCACACAGGGTTGAAGTGCATTTTGGGATATCTTCGCCGGCAAGTTATCACAAGTTACCATCCTATGCATTCTCGGTAAAATGGGCGTGACAAGAAAACATCCGGGTATCGTACCCTCCTTGGTGAGATTTCAACTTGTGTATTGAGACAGAACTTGTCTGAGACTGATGGTGTTTCACAAGGAGACAAGAGAGCAAGAACACAGAAGAATGCATTTTGAGATTCGCCCATGATGTCCATTCCAGTGTATGTTAGTAACCTGTCTATAGAATGGAACCATGTGACTATGATTTAAATGTGTAAACATGTGATGTTAGAACCACACATCACATGATGTGTGGTAATGAAGTCACATTCTAGAATGTGGCATTGATGGTTTTTATATATAAGCTAAACCCTCCAGGAATCCACGATCGCGGAAATTATTGCAGATTTCAAAGTCCTCCGTGGAAATTAAAGTAGTCCGCGGAATACAAGGCAAGATGCAGAATATTATATTTTACATGTAGTAGTTTTCATCCTGGCCACTAGATGATTTGAAGAGAAAAAGAGCAACTCCAGAGGACCCAATTTTAAAACGACAGAAAACAACCACAATGCCACTAAAACCTTGGCTGCATTAAGAGAAAAGGTATGCTGTTGTGTTGTCATTGTTTTAACCACTTGGGCCCGGTGCCCGCACATGTGCAGGCAAGACCGTGGCAAGAGCCTCTCCCTCTCATCTCCAGCCACTAGCTTCACAAGGACGAGATGAAACAACAGATTTTTCTCTGATTTTGCTACAGGGGGGTTGGAGCATGTCTAAAATGTTGTGTTTTAATATTTCATTAACCTATATTAATAATTTTTTACGATTTTAAACACTCAATGCACGTAGTAGAAGAGAGGAAGCTGAAGAAGCCGTCAAGTATCTCCACCCCACTATCATATATCAAAACACATCAGGACACCCTCCTCTTTCAAATGAGACCTGTCTTACCTCATTACGATGTTTATATACCCCTCAAGTTTCACAATGGTAAGCAGGTAAAGTTTCCACAGGGGCAGAAAAAAGAAAAAAGTAATCCATTCTCAGCATTTTCCACGGCGAAATTCACTGGTAAACTTTGTCTTTTTTCCCTATAAAGTTCCCCACAAGCTAACACAACAAATATTTCCTTCTGACCACAAACATGCCAATCAAGCTGAGAGACATTTTAGTCTGGCCAACCATAGCCCAAAGCTCACTGTCCATACCTGCCCATCTATACAGCGATTGGATGAATCAATCCAGGTTTGACTGTAGTCGATTCATTCTGCCATTCATGATTTTATGAGCTATATCAAAGTCATAACAACAAGCCGCGGATTTCCGTGCAATCAAGAATTGCTCTCCGCAGAATCAGGATTGTTCTCCGTGGAACCAAATCTTTTTCTCTGCAGATTCCTGGAGGGTCTAATTAGCAGAAGAGAGAGCAGCTGCACAGTCACTGTGATCATTCTAGATCTTTTTTCTGGGTGATTTTACACTGAGAGACAGAAGACTAACAAAGACAAACAAAATGAGAATCATAATGAAGACTCATAGGAACCTTGCAGCCATCCAGGGGCCCCTGAAAAGAAAAGAGCCGCAGAACAACAAGATGTAGGTTGCTGGAACGAAATGCAAAGTCAGGACAAGACCTTCACTTTGCAGAACAATAAGATGGATGAGGATAAAGCAAAGAAGAGGGAGAAGAGGAGGAGGCATAGAGAGGCAGTCAAAAAAGCTAAACTCATAACCTTGATGGAAACCAATGAACTCAAGAGGTGCGCCAGCTCAATCATATGCTAAAAAGAAGGCAGGAGGAGTTAGTCAAAGAAAGAAGTAGGAGGATGCTGTTAAGTGCAGAGCTGGAGCACACAAAAAAAGAATGGGACTTGGACATATGTCCGAAAGTCAATTTACTCGACTGGTCCATAGGCCTGAAGAAGCCAAATTAAACATGGCACGGGTCAAACCCCTATCCTGATGGACTCAGCCAGCATTATACAGGCTTCAGTAGATTTACAACAAGAGAGGCTGAACCAGTATCTGCAGGAAGAACTGGACAAACTCAAAGCTGCTCACCATGATCTGGAAATCAGGTATCAGGCTGATGTAGTTAGTGTCAAGCAGCAAATAGACAGCCTTCAGCAGGAGCTGCAGAAGCAAGTAGACAGCCTTCAGCAGGAGCTGCAGAAGCAAATGAAGACTCACGGTGACAGAGTGTCACAGGACCAGGCTGTAAAAAGATCCTCAGTAGCAGTAGTAGTAAAAAACAACAGTTTCCTCAAGAGCATGGCAGAGGAAATTGACAAACACCAGCAAAATGTGACCCAAGCTGGACAGATTGTGGAGAGCCTTCAACAGTAGCTGCAGAAGCAAAAGAGGACTCATGGTGAAAAAGTGTACTGGGATCAGGCTGTTATAAGATCCTTAACAGCCTAAAACAAGGCTCCCCTTCAGAAGATGGCAAAGGCGAAGCAGAAACACCAGCAAAATATGACCAATGCTGGACAGATAGTGGACAGCCTTCAGCATGAGCTCCAAAACCTAAGTCAGGCTCCCTTTGGCCAAACATCACGGGACCAGTTTGTCATCATGTCTTTGAAGACAGAGCATAAAACCATCTATCAGAAGATGAGAGAGGAGATGGTGGTCCTGCAACACTATGCAACCCAGAAGGAGCAGATGTTGATGACAGAGCTTGAGAAGCTTAAGAATCAGCTCAACGTCCAGAAGAACTTCAGAACAGAGCTTCAAGCCACAAATGACGAGAACCTTGGACAACTTAGAGCTATGATTCTTGAGGAGAAGAACTTGAAAGATATAAATCAGCTCACAGGAAGCTCACTGAGAAGTACAAGTCTGAAGTCCTGAGTGTCAAACCAAAGCCAAAGGTCTAGTCTCACCTGGACCAGAGCACCCCAGGCTGAAAAAAAACAGGACATGTTCAACCCTCCTCCCTAACCTGTTTTCAACTCATTGTCATTGTGGGTTTTCTAGTTTCCTCCCAAATATCCAGTGCGGGTGCAGTGCGAGCCAGGCAGTAGTCGAAGGCGGGGACTTTGTCAGCCCGATCCTCGGCTGCAGCGGCTAGCTCAATGGACATGGAATGTCACTTCTCTGGTATGGAAGGAACCTAAGCCAGTGTGTGCGGTGGATAAGGCTCTCTTGCTTCGTTACTGGATTTCTGTGCTCATCACAGATTGTCCATAATAAACACCATGTTCAGACATAAGGGTGTCCACACATACACTTGGAACCAGGACAACCTTGGCCGCAGTTTGATGATCGATTTTGTGGTTGTGTTGAGATGTGGCCATAAGGTGGTTGGTGCCTGTCATGGCGGTAACATCCAAGTTCGTTGGTAGACACCAGTGGTGAGTGCTGAGCTGAAGAAGGTGTCCCATTGGGTCTTTTTGGCCTGTGGGACTCTGGAGGCAGTGGATAGGTATCAGCAGGCTAAGCGGGATGCAGCTTAAGCGGTCTAAAATTTTGACACCAAAGTATACATATTTACTGCAAAACATTATCAGTTCTAACTATCAGTTATCGGTTTCCTTGATTGCTGATGTTCTGTATCGGCATCAGTTTGAACATTTAATGAATTGTATTTGTAGTGTATTCAGTTTCATGTAGGGCATACAGAGTAGTCCTATTTTTAGGATCTTTAAAATCTAATTGCAGCTCTTTCTCAAATTAAATTAAATGTTTGAATTAGGATGAGCACCAGCCCTTTGCCAAAGTGCTGCTCTGTGTTTTGTTAGTGTTTACTGTCCATGTTTTGTGGACTCTCACAGTCCAGGCAGAGATGTGTTTGCCAATGTTGTTTCTATGAGACTGGAAAGATGGAATCACTTGAATGAACGTGGCAGACGCTTGAAAAGAACAGCCACTCAATGAAAGGAAACACACAGAGCAGACAGGGAGGAGATGATTAATAGTGAACTCTATTATTGAAAGGCCTCACTCATAAGGTCTTCTCATCTCCTCTGGGATCCTGGACAGGACTGCAGGCAAGGTGCTCACTGTATTTTTTTTTCATTAACAGAAATTTCCTCATAACACCCTGGCAGACAAAACAACACCTCAGGGGCTCCGGTGCAGGAGAACAGATGCTTTAAAGCACCTATGAGATCTCCAATTAATCCAGAGAGCACCTTACTGATTCGGTTTCTGTTGTCTTAATAAAACAGAAAGTGGACTGCTCATGATTGAGAACGAATTCAGCCACATTACTGAACTGGTTATTCAAGTTCACATTTACAGAAGAGGAAGATGAGGAACTTTATTGATCTCCGAAGGGAAATTAAAAAAAGATCTGACAGAAAAAAAGGTCTGTGAGAGACATTTCCTGTCCAGGTGTAGTATCAACAGGGCTTTGTAGGTTCTGAATAGTATTTATTTTGTTATTAAAGGTTCAGATCTTTCAGGATTTTCTCTAAATCTGTAGTTTGTCTCATCCTTGTTTTCAAAATGCACATTTTTTCCCTACATTTTTTTGCTGTTTCCTGCCAATCAACCATCAAATCAACCAACAAACTAACAAACATGTTTCCTTGCAAAGTGAGCATGCAGGAAAGAGCATTAGAGCAAATTCAAACATGGCTAAACTTGCAGTTAATGCAGGCATATAGCAGGGGTCTCATTCTCTTTGTAGTTATTTTAATATGATCTTACTTATTCAAAAGACTAATTTGCAATTGGTATACCCATTACCCTAAATAATACAGGAATATGGTGTGCATGTGAGTGTAGTCATTGTTTAGCACATAAATAACCTTCATCTACTCTGTCGTTCATAAAACCTCTCTTTAGAAGACATTTTCACCTTTAAATTCTTCACGTCTTTTTACCTGTTTTAACTCCTACTGCAGCCCTTTTAGATTGCTTGTACAATATAAAGTGTATTTTTTATTAAATATTTTTTTTCTTTTATTTATTTATTTGTTTACTTGATAAACAGTTAAAACGGGACTTTTAGTTATCCATGTACCCATTTTAACATCTATACATGGTTAAACAGGTGCTGTAGCATTTAATTGTGCACAAATCCCAGGTGCACTGCACTTGGGATTTATAGCAAAATGCTCATTTGAAACACCTGAGAGGCTTTTAGAAATACAGTAATAAATAAACACAGAGGTAATACCACCAAGCAGTAGAGTACGGTAAAAGTAAAAAGTCAACTAGTTTTTATATTCATGTTTTAAGTGTGAGAACAACATAACTACATTCAACAGCAGTTTTGTCAACAAGCGCATCTTAACATTAGATTCAATCATACTTGGTTACATCTAACTTCAAGAGTCAAATACCATTATTTTGTTGTGTTTTTCACAGTTGGAAATATGCACAGGATTATAATTGTGAGTAGCCGAAGTGTTAAGAACCAGACATGAAGGATAAACAAGATTAACATTCATATGCACATAAACTTGATGCAAACCCTTTAAAGTCAGTGCTCTGTTTGGCCAAAAAGATCTGGCCCCGCCCACAATTTCAAGGTTTTTCAATTATATTTCTGTAAATTTTTAAAAAAAAAAAAAGATGAAATATGCAGCTTGAGGTTGTTTAAGGGTCTGATTTTGCAGCAGCAATTGCGAAGTTCTGCCTCATGAACCAACTCGAACCAGACTGGAAAATTTGAGCAATCAATCACATCCTTGAACTGAGCTAACAGGCCAAGGTTTTTCTCTTTTTTGATTGTGTAATTCACAATCCTAATGGCCCTTTTTGAGACGGAGCATTGGCACACTTATGAATAGGCTACTGGTTAAGTAGACTGAGTGCTCCAATGACAATTTGAAAGCTTTTTGGAGCCAATAATGGACTGGATAGATGTGGAGTGGACCTGAACATAGCTCATTAAACACTGGGGTGAAAAGCTCTCGGCAGGCTCTCCACTGCATGGCTGAGCAGCTCCAATCACCTCCGCTGGATGGCTGGCAAGAAGCTCTGGTGAAAGAGCTCCTCCAGTCAAAGGTGCTTTGTTGGGTTACTGTACAGAAATAACAGGGTGGAGCCTGTAGCAAGGTCAGAAGACACATGCAGGGACATATCTCTGTGGATTTAGCTCTCAGCAAGTGTTGCAGATCTGATCACTAAGCATGTCTTTATTTAGATGTTTAAAGTGATCCTAAACTAGCTGTCTCCAAAGAAGGAATGAATCACACACGCCTCAAATACCGAGGTAACAAGTGATTTTAACGTAAAGTACAAACCATAAATAACATTAATCTGCAGCTCATGTCTGGTCAGCTGTGGGTAGTTTGTGTTTGGCTTAATGTGTATGCACTAATGCACCGAGACAAAAGACAGCTGGTTTTTATTTCAGTAACCTTTATGCCTCCCGGTTGGTCTTATTAACGGCATACTTACAGGTTCCCACATGACCTGTTATCAGGGTTTACATTAAAAATGAATTTGCAGGTTCTACAGGCTGATAATTCATCATCAGGCTGTTGTAAGCTCTGCTTTATCACCTGTTTAATTCTTTATGCAGATTGCAGGGTCGCTGACCTTACAGGGTGAGTCTGGCTGTGGTGAGCAAAAGTGATGCTCCTTGTAATTATTCTGTGAGGGGGGTCGGGGTCAATTAGAGAGGAAAATCTCTGAGTGCAATTAAATTGATGTTAATATGTATTCAGTCCTACCTCAATTAAGTGTCTCAGCTGTCAGATTATTCAGTTATAAAGGTTTCAGAGTGGCAAAAAGGAGGCTGGTGCCTCCACAGCAGAGTTAATCAACACTTCACTCACTTATTGGTGACAGGAAAAACCTTTTACACCTAAAAGTGGCATTTTCCATTTGAAAATATGATAAAATGATCAAATTTGACCCAAATTTGTGTGAAAATAGGAGATGTTCCCGAATGGAAAGCAGGAAATGGGCTGAAATAAAGAAGACCGTTAGTCAGCTGCTGAAGATAAGTAAGCAGGTAATGGGAGGAAGCCAGCGGCGGCTGGCGTTGGTGGTGATATCTCTGTGGAGCAGACGTGATGCTTGAGAGGATTTGGGAGATGCTGCTGGCTGGCAGGAAGCATCCAAGCTGAGGGATTGATACAGTAGCTGTCTCAGCTGCTAACAAATGTCTACTGTAAGCACTTTTTAAGTGTGTGTAAATGAGACAGCTTCGGTCTTTTGAGGAATTTCACTTTACGAGGGGAGGGGGAAAAAGGTGATAAGACACCTTAATCCAATTTAGAGCCAATTAAGAGTATATCTCCTTACAATGTAAAAAAAAAAAATGTTTAAAGCCAGAGAATGATCTCTGTCTTCCTTCAACACAGACTGCAGCTGTCCTTGTCCTGACAATGTGTGCCACAAAAAGTCAGACTGAGCCCAGACAGAGGGAGGCCGAGCTGTCACTGTATCCCTTATCATCCGCCGCAGCATTGTGGATGTCAGGACTCCTGCTCTTTTCATTCCTTCCTTCCCTTTTTTCCTCTCCTCCCTCCTGCCTTGGCCATTTTCCCCTGGTATTCAAGCCGTTTAAGCGACGCATATAATCTTCAACCACCCAGCCAGCCCTAAGCCTCAAAGAGTCGCCTAGATATGGGCAGATGGAGGTGAGCTATCAGCTAACCTGTAACCGTGGGCCTAAGGCGATAATCATTTCAAAACTGCGGGGGGAAACGGTTTTAATAGCCCTGTAAAGGTAATGTTTGTCTGCCTTATCACACCTGGCAGATGCATCACAGGGAGGAAGGGGAAAAGGAAAGCGGGGGGGGGGGAGAGGGGAGGAAGAAAGACTCAGCTGATAACAGTCCCTCCCCAGGGAAGGATGAGGCTGGAATTAAAAAAGTGCTTCCTTCAGGAGAAAGTTTAGGGATTAAGGTTGGTCGCTTTTACCCTCTCTCCCACCTGCAACTCAT